CCCCGGAGGTGACCACGTGGCGTGGCAGACCTCTCCTGACCCGCCCGCTGCTCCCCTCAGCAGTGTACTCCATCAGTCAGCCTGTTTTGCTCCCCACTCTGTCTCTGGTGAATCCTCTCACTGCCCCTGCTCCTCTGGCCTGTACCCCAATTCTGTATGCACAAATAAATGTCTTACAAAAAAAAAAAAAAAAACACAAGAACACAAGTGTTGGCCGAGGCTGGGGGTGGGAGGAATGTTTGCTGGTACAATCACTATGGAAAACAGTATGAAGAACAGAAATACCTCATCGCCCAGTTATTCCACTTCTGGGTATTGATCCACAGAATATGAAAACACTAATTTGAAAATACATATGCTAGGCCCCTATGTTCCAAGCAGCATTATTTATACTAGCCAATAATTGAAAACGATGTCAGTGTCTATTGATTGGGTAAAAAAACAAAAAGAAGTGGTAGGTATACACAATTGAAGGCTGCTCAGCTATGAAAAAGATGAACTCTTGCCATTTTTTGCCAACATGGATGAAACTTGAGGGGATTCCAAGTGAAATAAGTCAGGAGGAGAAAGACAAATAACATGTGATTTTATCAGTGGAAGCTAAAGAAAACAAATGAGCAAAGAAAACAAACACAGGGCCCTCCCTCGTGGTGCAAAGGGTTAAAGCGCAGCACTGAGCAGCTCTTTGCAGTCACAGTTTCATCCTCGGCCCCAGGGGTGACCCACATGGCTCGGCAGACCTCTCCTGACCCGCCCGCTGCTCCCCTCAGCAGTGTACTTCGTCAGTCTGCCTATTCTGTGCCTCACTCTGTCTCTGGTGAATCCTCTCACCACCCCCACCCTGCACCTCTGGCCTGCACCCCAGTTCTTGTATGCATAAATACATAAATCTTTAAAAAGAAAACAAACACAAACTCTTAGATACAGAGGACAGACTGGTAGTTATGGGCAGGGCTTAAGGGGGCTGGGAAGGGGCTCAAGCGTATGGTGATGGGTTTGTGGTGGTAATTATGATGTAGCGATCACAGCTATCAAATTACAATATCACATACCTTAGACATCTGGAATCTTACAAACCAGAGCTACCACAATAAAAATATCCATTAAAAAAAATGGTTAGAAAATAAACACCCTTTCCTCTCTGCCCCAAACCTGTTCTAACTTTATTTCTTCCTGCTAAGGTATATGGTTGGAATATGCTGAAAGGCTGGGCTCCCCTCAAGGCCTGGCTGCTCCTAGCCTTGTAACCTCAGCCTCACAGATCAGGTTTCTCATTTATTCACTGGCCATGCAGGGCCACTGAGCCCTGCAAGACTGTGTGAGGATTAAGTGACATAAATAAGATAACACATGGTAGCGGTGTTCGTACTCAGTCCAGGGCTGGCAAGAAGTTGAGCAACTGTTATTTCCTTCCCTGAATTCAGGGCCCCTCGCAGCTG